AGCCAATTCCTCTCTCTTAAATCCGTACTTTCTCTTAAATAAGTTCTCTTAAACCGTAGCCGCTACTGTATATATAATAGTGGTGTTTACTCCAACCCGTGATCACACAGAAGGGCCCCTATCTACCCTCCCCTCCTGCGGTACGTTGCCTTCGATTTTTTATGCGAGAAGAGTTCAGCTCTCTCTTTCCTCTGTGTACACACGAACTGGCACCATCCACTAGGCCAGAAGCGGAGGCGAGAGAAAAACTACTGCGCCAAGAAAAACAGGAGTAAATGAAACTCTTCGACATACATACCTTGTGACAATGCTGTTGTCCTCGCTGTCTTCCCGCCAGACGTCGGCGCAGTATTTGGGCTCGTGGGGCCAGTAATGACTCTCCGAAGGGTGGTGAGAGTATCGCCTGTGGCCGTTCGACGTATTGTCGGAAGCGTCAAGTGTCTGGGGTTCCTCCTTCTTAGCGCTAGAGCTCGTATCCTCCGTCTCGTCCTTGACCCGTGCTTCGTTCAACGAGCTCTCCATCGAGAAGTTCTGCTTCTGTTGATCTGCCACTGTCCTCTCCAGCCCAAACCCCTCCTCTAGCGGCTCACGAGTAGGATTCAACACGGTGCTTGTGGTAGTTTCCTCTGCATGCCCCGAACCGCTGCGGTGCTCTTCCCGTTCCTTCTCCTCGCCAGTACCGTTGTCGACATCAAACCGTTCTTCGTCGCCGTTGTTCTCGTGTTCATCGCCTTCGGACTTGCTGGACTTTGAATCACCATCGTCCCCGGCAGACGTACGAGACGGAACAGGAGGGCACGGCGCGTTGCCAAACGTTGGTTTGAGGCTGGGCAATTTGTCGGCCGACGAGTAGACCAACACCTGGAGAGTTCCTGACATGACGGTGATGAGGGTATTCGCCCCCGCGGGACAAGCGGTCGGTGGGGTGTACGCGCCAGGACGGGTACGGTGTATGCGCTGCCAGCTGCGAAAAGCAAGGGCAATAAGGGGGGGGGCGTGGACTTGAGGTTGTCGGTCTAAACATGCATGGTTTGGCGCTGGCGGTACGGCTTATCGCAATGCGCTTTGCATAGAACTTTGTTGTACACATGAAAAGCCTTGTGGGAACACCGTGCTTGCAAGAGTGTCTCGGTACTTGTTCAACCTCGACCATCCAGCCGCTCTCATCTCGACCATGAATGTCTCCAGCCACTCCCTTGTACGTGCAATGTGTCCAAAGTTTGAGCGTTGTGGGCAGTACAGCATGTGCGCTTCTGTACAAAAACTATTGGCAGCATTGGATATCCATCATCACCTACCATACGAAGTGTGTTGCATCAGATAGATGCCACGATCCTGATATTCACAGAGTTCGGTATCCGTCCCCCAACAACATCAAAGGTTTTCATGTCAAAACGGGTGGTCGAGGGAATATTCTAGAGAGGACTTTCAAGATATCGTGGCGTTGGCAAGGTCTTTGGTGTGAAACGTGGAGGTCATAACGCAGTATACATGCGGTGTTAAGATGTACAGCATATCCACTATGCTAAAATCCAGCGCTGACTTGTAGCATAGTGGATATGCTGTACATCTTAACATGCGGGTACAACCGTGCGGGTACCCCGTGCTAGGGACTGTAGGCGGCATCAACACGAAAGCACTGCTCAAACCCCCAGGTAAATACTGAAATGTCGACCTGCAGAAACTTCACCCACGATGCGAGCATGAGGTACGCCTGTAGCACACAGCACGGATGGAAGACCTACCCAGACACGAAGCGCTCAACCTCGGCATGTTCCCCGACCGGAAGCACGTCCTGTCCCCGAAACCTCTGCACGAAGTCCTCGGAAGCGTAGCGTGGGATTGGCAAGCTCTCCAGCAACGAGTCGTGGCACGCACGCAGGGGTCCATCCACCGTCCCCAACGCTGGATCCACCGAGTGTGGCAAGCAAGATTCTATCCCGCTCAAGATTAGATCCTGGACACGTTGTTGCCCGTTCTCCTCCTCCCCGTCCTGTTGAGCGGTATCCATGGCTTGGTCGCCGAGATCGCCTTGTTCTTTGCCATCCGCAGCATCTGCCGGCTTGCCGCTGCCGCCGACCCCACCGCCTCCCGAGAGTATCGCCACCGGGCGTCGGGGCACTGCGTACTCATGGAAGAACGCCGAGAAAGGGAGCTCCGCTTCATAAATCACGGCGATCTCATTGGCAGCCGAATCCAGCGCCACCTGCTGCTGCTGCTGCGTGTCCTCAGCAGTCGCACCAGCGCCTGTAGCGAAAATTGAACCCGCACTGCTGCTGCTATCGATCTTCTTGAGCACGGTCTCCAGATACAACGCGCGGTCACACTCCGCCCCCCAGCCCTCGCTCTTGCGGCCATGGCAGTCCGCTAGCATCGTGTCCACGATCTCCCTCGCCCCCCCTCCACCGCTGCTGCTGCTATTGCTACTGCTACTGCCTGCACTCAATAGAACGGTCCACGCTTCCTTCATGTTTGTCTCCAGGAACACCGTGTGGGTCGCGAGGACGAAGTTGGAGTGAACGAGGAACAGCATCGTCATCCATGGCACTACTGATGCTGTCCCTCTTTCAGTTGTCGCCCCCGACAAGCCACCAAAATGAGGTTTATGGCTCCTAGTTCGACGCATGACCTTTTGAGGGCGATAAGTAGCGCGGTCGCTCAGTTCTGCAGGGATAGATTGCCTTTGTTTCACGCAGTAGGCAAAGATACAAAAGATATCGCGTGTACGCGCTTCCGGGTTTGGATGGTCGTATAGAGGCGTTCTGGATCTTACGAGAAAAACTGAAACGGTCGTTTCGTATGATTTTATGTCGGTGGAGGCCACAAAGGGGGAGACGGAGAGGTCGGTGTAGCTGGATGCACGGCGAGAACTGAGGAGCATGTGGACTTGAAGCCCTACATTGACCAATGCGGCTTAGGAGTTACACACAACGTACTTATACCTCCCCAATGAGCGTCTGTCGAGAACGGTTCCTCATTTCACAAAGTTTTTTTTCACTTGACCCTTTCGTGACTACACCCCCGAATCGTGCATGCCCTTATATGCGACAATTTTCGAACCAAATTGAGCTGTGGGTACGCTGTGGGTACCTGCATCGACGACGGCTCGACGGTACGACTAGACCGCTCCAAAAGAAACAAAGTAACGACCCGGGACAGCAACAGCACGTCCCATATACAAAAAACTGAAATCCTGGGAGTTGCAATGCTCCGCAGCACCCTGCATCCCGCACTGCTGTGGACCTTGAGTCCAGCACGCAGAAACGCGGTCATGAGGCCGTTTTTCCTCTGCTTGTTGCGATTTTTCGCACGAGCGCTATGGACACCCCTGCTGTGGAATCGGACTACATCCTTGCGTCGCACGTTGGCAAGGGACAGCAACAGCAAGTCCCCCCGTGCCTTCGCGCATTCGAGAGGGTTTTCGTGACTTCAGGGACGATAAAATGCATGATAATTCCTGTCTTTAGCTGTGACGAAATAGCATGCTCCCGCTGTTGTGTTGTGTGCCCTTCCTTGCCTTGGGAATGTGGTTGCAGAACTGAGGGCCAAGCTTACGCGGCCTCTCCCCGAGTTCTCCTGCGTGTGTGTGTGCTTTTATTATTAGCATCGACCGCGCTAACCGGCTGACCAATGAAAAGACGTCAGTCTCAGTGCGGCGGGAAACACAAAATGTTTCTATAGTCCACTATCTGGGACCCCGGGACCGAGCGTCGTAGTGTTTGTTTGTGTTTTTATTGTTTGTGTGTGTTTTTATTATTAGCATCGACCGCGCTAACCGGCTGACCAAT